GAGAGAGAGAGAGAGAGAGAGAGAGAGAGAGAGAGAGAGAGAGAGAGAGAGAGGATGCTTGCACAGAAAGGACGAGGAAAATGCCATCGAGATTCCCTACCGAGCTTTACCTCCTGAAAACAAAGCACAACAACTCGCAACAGTCACCAACCAGAATCACAGCCATACAGAACAAGCTTCACACAAGCAGGGAGGAGAAAACCCATGGTTACGCTGGACCCGGACCCGGACCTGGACAGCTCATGTCCGGGGATCGGACGCGTGTCCGGCCGGGTCCAGACGGTCCGGACTGGTAAGTAGGTCCAGAAATGCCCGGACCATTATACAAAAATTGAAAAATCTGAAAAAAAACTTTAAAAAAGTATGTTATGGCAGTTATGCAGAATAACAATGCAAACCACTTTTGCCTCAGACTCTCAGAGTCATGTCAGAAATCCTAACCAAACTTGAGTTAAAAGTCAAAAACTATATAAGAAAAGAAGCAGTGAGTTATTAATATTTGAAAAAATGGGTATGTCTAATAAATTATTATAGAGATAGACCATGTCGGGACCCCCCAAAGAAACAAAAACAGATCTGAAATACCCCCAAAACAAATTTGAGGGCTCCGCTCCTCGGTGGGGAAGGGTCCTGGACCCTCCTTTTTTGTTTTGTTTTTCCCCTTGAAATTCGGCAGATCCGGACCTTCCGGACCGGACATCCGGAGCCCGGACTGAATCCAGACCATCTGGACGGTGGTCCGGACGTCCAGATCGTAAACAACAATCGTGGGCAGACAGAAGGACCTTCACACACAGAAGAATAAAAGAATGAAAACTTGAAAAGTAAAGGAGGTGGATATTCCTAGTTGTGGCAAAGGAGGAAATGGATCTGGTGACAAAAAGAGATGGATCAGCAGATTCAGCACTTCGTTTTGAGGAGATCAAGCAAAGGAGACGTTCAAAAGATATATATTTTAAAATAGTTTGGACTCTGGAGAACTTTGGACCATTTCTCAATTTATGCCTGTCATCCTTGCACAGAGGCCATGCTAATCTTCTCTGTATCATTCCAAGTTTAACGGATGTTCCTGAGGGCACATCTGAAAGAGAGAGAAATCGATACAGTTTTACTAGTAGACGGAATAGATGCGCGAGGCTTTCAGCCCTAGGAGTACCCCCAACGGATGGCAGCCTAAAAGGCTGGATGTGGAAAATGTCGCGGTGCCCCTTTGTGACGAGCCTCTGCCCTGTCCCCATGCCCGGCAGTTAGAACACAGCGTGGGGCCGTCGACAACAGGCGAAGCCAGGCCTATGTGACCAGAGCATCAAGGGGACCAAAGGCACTCGCTGGCTGCAATGTGGCATGCGGCCTCTCGGCCAATGAGGACGCAGCGAGTGACAAGGGCCACGTTGGGTAGTTGCGCCTTGAAACCCAACGGGGGCCAGGGCACATGGTGGTAAGCCTGTGAGGGGACAGTCAGGGAGTGAGCCTGGGGAGAGAGGAGGACGTACCTGGTGTGTCGTGGAGGTCTGCATGGGCGACATCTTCATGTGCATCAGTTCTGCTGCTGAAGTTATTCTGGTTGCATCATCCTACGGTAGGCCTAGGATAAGTGTCGTGAGTCTGTAGTTGGGTGCCAGGCGCCAGTTGGAAGAGCGACATTGGATACTTTCATGATGGTGGCGAGACAAGGGGCTGGCATTGACAATTTAGTTCATTGCTTTGCTCTTATCTGGTGTGTACTTGGTGCATTCTGCTTTCTGTGTGATACAGTGTAAATACGCAATTTGGAATTCTGTCATTTGCTCTCACACATTTTTCCTTGCAATTTGGTACCAGCTCCATCGGCGCTGGTGCCATGGTTATTTGGAACACTGAGCGGTCTTCAGCGTAGTGGAGATACTTTGGCGCTGGTTCTTGGTTGATTGGCGGCCCTGGGTTGAGAGGGCGGCACCAGAAAGGCTTTGTGGTGACAAACATTGGTTTTATGCTGTATGATGAGAGCACACTGACGTGACATTTATGCAAAGGCGGCAGTGCATTGTATTGTGGGTAGTGCCAATGCTATGACCAGTCATCGAAATGCACGACAGCTCAATTCATGACAAATCTGTGGTTGGGGGCAGCAAATGAGGTACGTTGTCTCTGGCCTTATCTACCGTCCGTTTTGCTTCTTACAGTGAGGAAGTGAGTTCTTCTTGATAGTCCTCCCTTGTGTGAGGTGTCGAGTGCGCACAGCCTTGAGAGACGACGTTCTTCCTGGGGAGCAAGCTGGTGCGAGACGGGTGGTGCTTTCTGAAGGCCCCTGGACGAAGCACGGGTCACGGCCAAAAGCCAACCGATGGGAGCAGAGCACGCATGCTTTGCTGCATTGTCCTTTTGACGCCTTTGCTGAGCAGTAGAGGGAGTTTTGGGCAGGCCAGCCCTATGGGGGTTCGATGTGTACTGGAGCGTCGTTAAAGATACTCCGGCAGAACAACCTACCCACGCTGTATGTGAGGATAAAAATAGTACAGACGGGGCCGGCAGTCCATTAGGCACAGGGGCACACCGCTGTGCACATCTTTAGACACTGGCCATCAGATTGCTTCTAGGACGTCATTGGTGACGAAGACAATC